AGAAAATCCTGGAGATCTAACTAGAAGCCCAGAAATGGATAAACTCAAGTCAGTGGCGAAGTGCTATGCTTATATAGAAACATCCTCCAACCCTGCAGACATTGACAAGATGACAAATGGAGAAACTTCATCTTACTGGCAGTCAGATGGCAGTGCCCGCTCACACTGGATTCGGTGGGTGGTATAATAATTATTATTACTTTTTAAAGAATTATTTTTTAATTTAACTTTATTTATTTATTCATTCATCCATTTCAATTGGACTAGAAAGGAAGAGAGTGAGAAAGAGAGAGGGAAAGTGAGAAAGCAAGCTGCCAGGTCCAGGACTCAAACTGCACTTGGCTATTATGTTGGAGTCCAGCATTCTTAACTACCACGCCACCTGCCAGCCCCCTGGTATAATTATTTTTCTATTTAAAAACTTGGAATGTTTTCTACATAACTGCCTATTTTTAAAAATTATTATTATAAGTGACTCTTCATGAAGCTGCTTTAAGTATCAAGTAAAAGGAATCATGTAAAATTACGTAACCTAGTTTATATGTTCATAAACATAAATAAATAATTTCTTGATATTTTAAAGGAGGAGATAGCATATCATTAATATTTTATGGTACTGATATCAGATCTTTTTCACTAATTTATCAGAAAAATTAGTGTATTAATGGTCAAGTATTTGTATCAGGTATGATTATACTTTCTAAGATCTTTTCTGTACATTTTAAAAATCCATTGTACACAATTAAGCTGGCCAGTTAGAGGAAGGAATGAGGTGATGAGGAATCCGGGAATAGAGTTTATGACAGTAAATCAATATTTCTAGAAGTTCTAAAGCTGCTGTCTAAATTTCTACCTGTCCCCTTAGACAAGGGGCTAATTTTAGTTTGTATAAATAGAAATTAATTGACTCATTTATCTTAGAGGACACAATGGACTTTTAGCCGATTATCTTACCTAGAGATGAGGGAATATACTCAGCTCTTTGGATACAGTTTAGAATTTGCTTTTTACCAGATAAAGGGATTTTATTAGAATGTTCGTTTTGTCCTTTCCTGCCTGTACTAATAGCTTTGAAGGAAATGCATGATTAACCTCAAACTGAGAGGTTTTGAGAGACATGGAGTGGTCATAAGGACTCTGGAGTTCATAGCCAGCATTTCAAGGTATTTGCTATTAGGAAAAGCAGTCTTTGGATTTAGAGACAATAAAATCTTTGAGATGGAACTCGTGGATCCTGCTAGTTCTTAACACACATAAACATTTGTGGTTTCTGCTCTCTCTGTTTTCCAGTTTAAAAATGAAGCCGGATGTTGTGCTTAGGCACTTGTCCATTGCAGTGGCTGCCACTGACCAGAGTTACATGCCACAACAGGTGACAGTAGCTGTGGGGAGGAGTGCCAGCGATCTTCAGGAGGTCCGAGATGTGCACATCCCCAGCAATGTCACTGGCTATGTGACACTGCTAGAAAATGCTAATATCAGTCAGCTCTGTGAGTCAAATAAAACTCAGGGGGTGGGGGTGGGGGGTTGGAGAGTGTAAAAGTTGTTGATTTTCTTTTGAGACTTGATTTGCTTCTTATGACATTCATATTTTACCTGTTAAGTTTTATTTTATTATATAAAAACTGAAAAGCTTTTTTTTTTTTAGATTTTTGCCATAGGTCATATGTGCTTGCTAGATAGAGACAGAGACAAAGAAAGAGGGGAGGTGAGAAATTATCCCACAGGAAGGATGGCCACACCACAATCCTTTCTCCTCCATTCTCCTCTTGATATTTTGGGCATGCATGCATGTGTACCCAGTGTGATTTTCAAGCCTTCAGTCTGGGACTCAAACCATGGAGTTGGCCATGTGGAACCTAGTGCCTTAACCACCATGCCACCTGCTAGCCCTGTAAAACCTTTTACAGAAAATTAGGAAAATAGAGATAAACAAAAATGCTCAAAAATCTTAGTATTCAGGGATTATCACCGTGATTACTTTGGTGAAGATCCTTCCAGACCTTTTCTTGCATTTGTGTATTTATATGTATATATATATATATATATATGTATATATGTGTCTGCTTACACACACTTTTTTTTCCACCAAAAAGTAGTTTTGTGTATGTGTGTGTATATATAACATATGTCTATACATACCTTTTTTACAAAAATGGTGATATTCTTCACATGTTCTTTTATAATTCTTTAAATGGTTTATGATATCATATATTCACAAACACATTTATTTAGTATAGTAAGAATCTGCCTTAATTTTAATCCACCCGTTATTCTTGAACATTTATATTGTTTCCAGTTTTTATATACTTATAACCTTGCTTGACACAGAGCATTTTGGAAATAATCACAATTCTGTGATTTCTTTCCAGGCTTATTTCATTCAGGGAGCCGGAATGCTTCATGTTTTGTCTCATTCCTTCCAATGCTTTCCTGGGCCAAAGGAGATGTTCTAACTTTGCTCAAAGGAACTGAGGCCTAGGGAGGTAGTGTTTGTGTCTCACCCCTAGGCAAAGTAGTTAAGCTTGTGGAGTAGACGCTTCCTGTCTTATACTGTGGCAGTCTTTTCTAAGTCTGTTTTGACTTCTCACCTCCTCTTCTTCGACCCAAATAAGAAATTGTGACATCTCTGAAGAGTGAGTCATGTCTATGTCATCTATTTGAATTTAAAGAAACTCTCACAATTGCTTATGATCCTGCTACTGTTTTATAACTCAATCCAAATTTCAGAACTCTTGGAAGAATTCTAGAAATGTTCTTACCATGTATTCAGTCAGGATTTTCAAAATGAGTTTTGTGTAGTTTTCAAGACTCCTAACTTCCTAAGAATTTTCGTGAATAAAGATTTAAACTACCCTTAATTTTACACATTATTCTTGTGATTTCTTAGATTCATCAATACATTTTTTTGTTTGCTATAGGATGCTTGCACTTGCCAGAGAGAGAGAGAAAGTGAGATATCACCCTCTGGGGGGGGCGGTGGTGTGTGTCTTAACTTCAGTCCCCTCTCCTCCCTTCTCCTATTGGGATCCTGGGCATGCACATACACACATCCGATGTGTTTTTCAAGCCACCAGGTCTGAGATTCAAACCACACAGTTGGCCATGTAGGATTCAGCTGCTCCAACTGCCAGGCCACCGACTTGCCCAGATTCGTCATTATTTTGTGACAAGTTTATTATATACTAGTTCCCTTGCACACACTATTTATTTCTATCATCAAAGTATATCCTCAGAATTTTTCTTTCAGATACCAATCACTATTTTGCTTTTAACTGGGAGTCTAGTATTTGCTGAACTAAAGAAGCTAATCTAATACTGAATTTGTTGTTTCTGCTTGACAGATGTCCAGATTAACATAAAGCGTTGTCTTAGTGATGGATGTGACACTCGAATCCATGGTCTCAGGGCTGTTGGCTTTCAGAGAGTTAAGAAGTCTGGGGTCTCGGTCTCAGATGCCTCTGCAATATGGTATTGGTCTCTGCTGACGTCTCTGGTGACAGCTTCTATGGAGACGAATCCTGCCTTTGTCCAGACGGTGCTGCACAATACTCAGTAAGTACTCGCTCTGTCCTCCAGCCCCTTCGACGTGCGCTCATGTCACTGAGCCAGGCTTCTCAGTAACTCAGCCCCCAGTCCCCTATTGTTTTCTGTGTGTGCGTTTCAGCTCCATGCTGCTTTCTCTTTGATTGATGTTCCGGCTCCTAGGCTTTGAAGAAGTACCCATTCCACCATCCTCCTCCTCTTCACACAGTTCCTCCAGCCTCCTCCATCAGCTCACAGAATGTGCCAGCCTTGTGAGAAGGCCACTCACACTGTGCCTTGTCCTTTTCTGTTGGAGAACAATCAGTCGCTCACAGTTACGTAGTACTCCACATTTGGTAAAGCACTTTCAGATTGCAGTCTTATTATTTTACCTATTCAACACTGAAATGTACCTATTTATTTTTTTTTAATAAATGTAGTTTACAGATTTTTTAAAGGATTATTTTATTTAACTTCATTCATTCATTCATTCATTCACTCATTCATTAAGAGGGACAGAGTGTGTGTGCGTGCACGCAGGAGAGAGAGGGAAAGTGAGAAACCAAGCCACCAGGTCTGGGACTCAAACCACTGTCGGCCATGTGGGAGTCCAGCGTCCTTAACCCCCATGCTACCTGCTGGCCTGAAATGTACCTTTCTTTCTTTCTCTCTTTCTTTTTTTTTTTTTAGAGATTTTTTGCTATAGGGCGCGTGCGCTCACCAGACAGACAGAAAGAGACAGAGAGATAGAAAGCGAGAAATCACCCCCCGGAGGATGGCCACGCCGCAGTTTCTTCTCCTCCATTCTCCTCTCAGGATCTTGGGCACGCACGCACATGCGCCCAGCGTGAGTTTTAAGCCACTGGGTCTGGGACACGAACCGCAGTCGACTACGTGGGAGTCCAGCGACATAGCCATTATGCTAACTGCTGGTCCTGAAATGTACCTTTCATAGATGACAGTATCATGACCTTCCCTGAGGTCACACAACCAGGTGGCGATGGATCCATTTGAATCTCGGTCATTGGACTCCCAAGTCGAGGGGTCTTTTCACTACTAAGTGACATCATTTCAAGGATGCAAACTATTTTATTTTGAAATGTAAAGTACCTTTAAAAATGTTGTCTTAAACAACTACTAGGGGAGCCAGCAGGTGGCATGGTGGTTGGGGGCACTGGATTCCCGCATGGCCAACTGCGGTTCAAGTCCTAGACCTGGTGGCTTGTTTTCTCCCTTTTCTTTTTTCACTCTCTGGTCAAATTAAAAAAATAATAATAACAAATGGAATTAAATAAATAATTTTTTTTTGAAAGTTACTTATTTAAAAAAAAAAAACTATTAGGGCAAACAGACCACATAGAAACATAAAATACAAAACAACCAGCTTCAATAGCAATGAAATATTGGTATGTAGATTCAATAACTGATAACAGATGCTATTAGTGTAGGCTATCAAAGTATCAGACAAGAAGAGATTGCTAATATTTTGTCCTCTAGACAGCTTTTGAACTTTGTAAATGCTACTAAATAAAACTTTCCAGCTAATGACACACTGGCAGTGCCAGATCTGAAGGTGGTAACAGTTGGCCAAATCCCTTCTTTCTTTCCTGTTTTAGCATGCATTTTTAAAAAAGAATTATTTTATTTGTTATTATTATTATTTTAATTTGACTAGAGAGAGACAGAGAGAAAGAAAGAGAAAGTGAGAAAGCAAGCTGCCAGGTCTGGGACTTGAACCGCTGTCAGCCATGTGGGAGTCTAGCACCTTAACCACTGTGCTACCTGCCAGGCCCTTAACATGCATTTTTATTAAACCATTTCAAACTTAGACATTGTAAATATAATATCAAGAATTTTTATTTCTTCCTTAGTCATTTTAGTGTTTACTGGCAATGTGGTGCCCCCTTTTTCCTGAATAGTGTGTATTTCTTACAAACAAGCACATTCTCCATGAAAATCAGGAAATTAATGTTGACATATGTTCTACCATTTAATCCTCAACTCCCAATTCATGTTTTTGTTATAATTATTTATTAAATTTTATTTATTCATTTGTTTTTAATTTGACAGAGAGAGAGAGAGAGAGAGAGAGAGAGAGAGAGAGAGAGAGGAAGTGAGAAAGCATGCCACTAGGTCCGGGACTCAAACCGTGGTCAGCCATGTGGGAGTGTCCAGCATCTTAACCACCACGCCACCTGCTGGTCCCCCCATTCATGTTTTAACTTGTCTAAATAACGTTCTCCATAGCAACATGATCTGGTTCAGAATCATACTTTGCTTTAAAATGTCATGTTTCTTTAGTTTCCCTCTGTCCAGACCAATCCCTTAGTCATGCTTTGATTTTTATGACCTTGCCACTTTTGAAAATTACAGGTCAGTTATTTTGAAGAATGTCTTGTCAGTTGTGGTTTATCTGATGTTTCATCATGAATAGATTCAGGTTTTGTGTCATTAGTAGGAGTGTCATAGAGCAATGCTGTGTTCTCGTGTCCCATTGGGCAATCACAACCTCAGACAGTCCCATTACTGGGGCTAGTGATGTTCACTGATCACTTGATTAAGGTGATCTAACCTTTCTACTGTAAGATAATTTTTTCCCTTTGTGATCAAGAAGTATTTTGTGAGGCGATACTTGGAGGTTATGTAAATGTCCCATTTCTTGTCCAACTTTTTATTTATAAGGGGATAGGTTCCTACTTTGTTCACGAGGTTATAATCAACCTCTGTTTGAATGCACAAATTGTCCCAGGTTTGGCTGGTGGCATCCCCTTCAGTCTGACTCATGAGTTCTTTTGACATATTCTCCTTGTTCTTGGAACATTTCCTAACTTTCTGGCCCAACAAGATATTTCAGGCTTCTCTTGAGCATTTCTTGCCTTGGGCCTGGGATCAGCCATTTTTTTTTGAAGAATCAGGGTCCCTTTTAGTGACAGCAGTACTTAGAAACTACCCTCATTGCTATTGGGGTGTCCCTTCTTCCAGGTCCACTCGATGAAAACAGCTGAGAAGTACATATCTGTAGTGAAATAATACACATTTATACCAACATTTGTTTCTGTATCTTTAGTACTAGTAATAAAAACGATGAATTTGCACTGACACTTCCAATTCTAAACCAGCCCTGCAGAGTTTACTCTAGTTTTCTCCCTTTCTGTATTTGTAACTCCCTTCTCCCATAGTGAGAAACCTCGCTCCTTTCAGCCTTAATATTTTTACTTAGCCCCTTTACCAGTCTCCTGTCACCCCTGTCCTTGCTTAGACACCCTCCCCACCCCACTCCTGCTCCAACAACTTTCACAGGGCTACTCCGTGGCCAGCCTTGTACCAGTACCTCCTTCTCTCCCTGGAGTTCCTGTGCCAGGCCACCCTCCTCGTCCTGCTTGGTACCTGCATTCCATACCAGACCGTCCCTTTGTGCAGGGACTTTCTCACTCAGCTCGGGCTCTAGCACTCTACTGTTGCCTACCATGGCTCTCCCTGACCCTGCACACATGAATGCTTGCCTTGCACAGCCCCACTGTGTGGACTGGATTTTCAAGAAGGGGAAGGGATTAAGAGCAATTCTACCTTATTTTTAACGACGTGCCAAGTTGTTGAAGAATAGATCTATTTTACAGGTTCTGTCCCCGCCCAGTTGCACTAGTTCATCTACAATGGTATTTTTATGCATTCCTGACTTATCATGATTAGTGACCTACTATTTTAAAATTTTAAATGTGTTAGAGAAAAGACCAGCGAGGAAAAGTAAGTAAGAAAAATAACATTTAGGACAGAAGTGTTTTCTTGATCCATTGAAAGCAGCTCAGTTAATGATTGCCGGCTCTTCATGGGCATCAGACCTCGGTGATCAGGTGCACCTGAGGCTGCTTGCCGTGCCGGTACAGCCTAAAGACAGCTGGTTGTGTAGCTGGGAGGAGATGTCAGCCAAGCGGAAGTTGACACAGCGTTGGCTCTGCTGTACAGTCTCTATTTCAAAATATAGGAAGAACAATTTTTCAGGAATTTTCATTACTGTGATCATAAAATGACTATAAATTGTAGAATTTTGAGGGTTTGTTTTTATTCATTCACAGTATTCTGAGTTTTTCACCCAAGTGTGAAGCTCACCTAGCACCTAGCGCTGTTGCTAGCACATAGTAGGGCTCAGTAACCATTTGTTGCATTTAAATTTGCTCAATGTCTGCTAGTTCAGCAGAAGTAAAACTTCTGGTAGATTCAGAAAGATAAGCATTAGAACAGACGAGGAAGAGAAGATGTGAAACACACAATGAGGTTGAAAGGCCAAGAAACAGCAGGCATAGAGAAGGTAATGGATGCTATTCTGTTTAGTAGAAAATAAAATTCATGACATATCTTTAGATACCATAGATTTTTTCTTTTCTTTTCTTTTTCTTTTCTTTCTTTTTTTTTTTCATTTATTTATTTATTTATTTTCTGTGATTTTCACTCCAGGACTTGAACTGCAGTCAGTCACGTGGGAATCCAGTACCTTAACTACCATGCTACCTGCTGGCCCCAGTACCATACATCTTAAGATCCTATGTATAAAATAAATTTTTTTTTAATTATTATTTTTTTAGAATTATCCTCCCTTCCTCCCTTCCTTCCTTTCTTCCTTCTGTTAACTTGATGAGAGGGACAGAGTGAGAGAGAGAAAGTGAGAAAGCAAGCCTCCAGGTCCAGGACTTGAACTACAGTTGACCATGTAGGAATTCAGCACCCTTAACCACTGTGCCACCTGCCAGCCCCTAAAATAAATTTTCTGTTGAGTTACAAACTGCTCTTCTCTGAGACTCCTAGGGTTTTCTGTAGACTATGTACTTTTTTACTTACACTCTTACAATAAATACTGGGTTCCAGAAACTTGAATGAGTTTTTACAGAGGTAAATGGAATTCTTAAAAGAAAGGGGGGGGGGGCCAGCCTGATGGTGTAGTGGTTAAGATGGCTGGTCCCACATGACCGATTGTGTGGTTTGAGTCCCAGACCCAGTGGCTTGAAGAACATGCCAGACACATGTATGTGTACCCAAAATCTCAAGAAGAGAATGGAGAAGGAATTACAGTGTGCCCATCCCCCCCTGGAGGGTGATTTCTTGCTTCCCCCCTCTCTGTCTCTCTCTCTAGAGAGTGCACATGCCCTAAAGCAAACTAAAAAAAGAAAAGAAGAATGAAACCCATTAAACTATTGGGTTGTCAGAAAAGTCACGACTTGTTATTCTATGGAAAAATGCATCATGACTTTTCCAACGACATAATACTTAGCCTTATGACTCCTGAGAAAAGCCTAGTCTATATTGCATACTAGGTTCTCTATAGGAATACTGTCTATTTGTTTATAAAGGGTTAATCCAAATAAGCTTTTAACAATTTATTTTTTGTCTGGTGTTATGCCTGGTTTTGTTCTGATTTTACATCTTACTTTTCTAGGAAGGCACTGCAGCACATGCCTCCACTTTCCCTCTCACCAGGATCTACTGACTTCTCCACGTTCCTGTCTCCCAATGTTCTGGAAGAAGTGGATAGTTTCCTCATAAGGATAACTAGGTAAAATCAAGGTTGATAAGGTGAACTCTCTGTGGGTGATGGAGGGCATATATGCTTGTTAAATCTTTTTTTTTTTTAATATTTTAATCTTTTAAAAATCATTACTAAAAATTGTTTATTAGCTGGAGAGAAAGTGAAATAATAGGCCACCCTCTAAATGTTGTATCTAGGGACCGGTCCCTTGGTGCAGTGGTTAAGCATTATGCTTTGGGAGCTGGGTTCCACATGACTGGCTGTGGTTTAAATCCTAGCCCCTAGCAGCTTGAAAAAGACCCTAGTCAATTGTGTATGCAATGCCCCAAATCCTGTAGGGATGGAGAAATGGAGAAAAAGGGATTGCAGCATGACCACACCCCACTGGGGAGTTTTCTCTCCCCCTCCCTCCCTGGAGAGTACGTGTACCCTCTGGCAATTAAAAGTCAACAAAACAAAACTCCATTATGTATTGCTATTATCTGACCTCAGTAATTGAGGTGGTAGAGGACAGAGTCCTCTGATTCAGCTAGAACAGATATCTTGAAGTGCAAAGAGCAGGACCTCTCAGTTAACCTTTATTCCTAGCCTGTGGCCCTGCTCCCCTCTACACACAGGTCCGCCCAGCCTGATCATCTGCAGAACCAGAAAGGCATGCTCGATAGCTTAACAGAGGAGCTACTTGGTGCATGGACACTCAGCGCTGCCTCAGTGAGCACAGAGGGCTTGATGTATCAAGGAAAAAACAGTTCCTGAGCAGTTAGACATGTAAATCATTTCAATGTAATATGTTTTTTTTTCTTTTGAGAGGTTTTTGCTATAGGGCGCGTGCCAGATAGGCAGAGAGAGACAGAAAGTGAGAAATCACCCCCGGGGGGGGATGGCCATGCCACAATCCCTTCTCCTCCATTCTCCTCTCGGGATCTTGGACACACATGCACACGCACCTGGCATGAGTTTAAGCCACCGAGTCCAGGACACGAACTGCGCTCAACTATGTGGAAGTCCAGCGACATAGCCATTACACCAACTGCTGGTCCCTCAGTGTAATGTGTTTAAAAAGTCAGGGAAGTGTGGTGAGGAGAAGAGCTAAAATGAATTTTGGTTCTTCAGTGAATATATCCTCAGCACTGGTCGAGCCACCTCAGTACCCAAGGCTTCTCAAGAGCAGAGGTTTATTGTAGCAGCTCACCAATTTTTGGCTTAATATTATTTAATGTTTCTAGATTATGGTTACAGAAGAAAACATTTAATTCTCTGGTCTTCTGGGTTTGTTTAGTTTTCCTTTAGATTATTTTAAGAATTTGGAAACATATTTCTGATGAACATATGAAAGGATTATGGCAGGTTAATTTTTCTCATGGTGATCACTTATAGGGGTTTAGGCTTTCTGGATTTCTCTCTCTCTCTTTAGGTTTTGCCATAGGGCATGCATGCTCACTGGGAGAGAGGGAGAGTGAAAAAGTACCTCCCACACATCCCCGGGAGGGATGGCCATGCTGCAGTCCCTTCTCTTCCATTCTCCTTTTGGGATTTTGGGCATGCATGCACAGGCACCCAACACGTTTTTCAAACTGCCAGGTCCAGGACTACTTAGTTGGCCATGTGGGAGCCAGCCACCTTACCCACCATGCCACTGGCTGGCTCAATTTTCTCATGTTTTTAAGAAGTAAAAAGTTCTTTGTTCTTTGTCTGTAGCTGCTGTTCTACCCCAGAGGTTGAACTGACTCTTCTGGCATTTGCACTTGCAAGAGGAAGTGTTGCCAAAGTTATGAGCTCTCTGTGTACCATCACTGACCACCTGGACACCCCATATGATGCCTCGTCCCTCATCTCATCGATGGCGTCAGTCAGGCAGAACCTGCTCCTTAAATATGGTAAATGGCCTGGGCAAGAATGACATGGCAGCAGTGGGCAGGTCATTAAGCCATCCTCACCGTGTGAGCTGGCCTCTTCTTATCTTTTTGGGCAGTTTGTGGATTAGGTCATTGTAATTATACCATGATTTGTAGATAAACATATCAGAACCAGCCATTGACTGGGGTTAGTGGGAAGATGGGGTATATTAGTTTATTATCAGCAGAAAAGGACACCTTCTTGTATTTTCTAGGCTGTATTCCTAAGATCTACTGGCATAATCACATAGGTTTGGTGGCCATTTGAACTCTGTCATCTTTAGTGAGGTACTACCAAGAGAACTGGGGAGTTGGAGTATTTTCCTTCTGCAGAGCCAAAGACATGATGCTAAGAGATCCTTGTCTTAGGACACATCCCTCTGCATCTCCATGGTAACTGCTCCAAAGACTTAGCATACGGGTAGATTCAAAACATAATGGAAAAGTAGAATTAGAGTATACATTTATTTTGATACAAAAATTTTGAAATCCATGCATAGTTTTTCATAAAATGCCTTTTCTGTGAACTTTCCGAATACCCTTTGCACATGCCTGCACCTCCTGGGTGCAGCGGCGGTTTATCTTAGCACTTCCTACAGACTCAGGATGGGGCCTCCAGATCCTTCTCCACACAGGAGTTCATAAAGCTGCTCCCAAATGACTGCAGTCAGAATGTGGGGAACTGCTTATTGGCCATCCCAGCCAGCAGTGGTAAAAGTTTCTGTTTACAAAGTATAGTGTAAGATCCCATTTTCTTCAGTAATAGAGGCATTGCTATATTTCTGCTAGGATATTTGTACCTTTGTCTTAGTATAATTTAGTATTTATTTATTTATAAGTTTATTCATTTATTTCTCTCATGAAAGAGAGACAGACAGAGGGAGAGAAAGAGGTACCCCCAACAGGATCTCCATGCCCTGATCCACCCCCAGTGTCAGCCAGCCTGGATCGTGGGTACGTGCATGCTTGGTGTTGTCACAGAGGTCCTGAGATGCAAACCTAGAACCTTCCCCATGCAGGTCCTGTCATGTTACTGCTTTGCCTAAGTTTTAAAGTCAAATCATTGATGTCCTGTAAATCCAGTTTCCTGCCTACATTTGGAAAGATAATTTTGTAGTGGGACTGGGGACCTAGAGTAGACATGGCTGGATGGAAGAGTAGGTAATGTCTGGAAGTTGAAGTGTTCGGAAAAGTTTATAATTAAGCTTCCAGCCCAACACCCAGCAAAAAGCCAGAATCCATGTGCATCTGAGGTGGGTTTTCCCTGCCCCTTTAACCAGAAAAACACCTCTGCCCCAAACCCCTCCTTCTGGTTCAACACCCAGTAAAAAGCTAGAAGGTAGGAAGTAAGGTATAATCCATCAGATGACCAGAAACCACCACTGCAGAGGCACAAGAAATGTGGGAAATCAAGAGAATATCTCTTCCCCAAGGGGAAAGAGCAGCCCTTCATCATCCACAGACAGTACAATGGGACTCCTGCAAATGTCAGATAAACATTTTAGAATATTTGGGCCAGCAGGTGGCATGGTGGTTAAGGGTGCTGGACTCCCACATAACCGACCGCGGTTTGAGTCCCCAAGCTGGCAGTTTGCTTTCTCACTTTCTCTCTCATTCTCTCACTCTGTCCCTCTCTGGTCAAATTAAAATAAATAAATAAATGGATAAATAAAGTTAAAGAAAGTAATTGTTTGGAAAAAATTAAAAATAAAAAAAGATTTTAGGATATTCATAGTGACAAAGCTAACAGAGATGCAAGAGAAATAACGAACTCCAGAAGATGCAGGAGAAAAGAGACAACGAGTTCCAGGAGGTGAGGAAGCTCTTCCACAGTCTGAAAGAGGATATACACATCATAAAAAAGAATCGAATGGAACTTTAGAGATGAAGGCTGTCATAAAGGCAATCAAAACCTCCCTTGAAAGTATTAAAAGCAGATTAGATCATGCAGAAGATCAAATCTCAGTTAGAACCTCTGACCTAGAAAATTTGACCAAAAAGACTGAGGAAATAACCAAAAAAAAAAAAAAAAGAGAGAGAGAGAGTAATATACGAGTAATACTAATACCATTAGACGCCCAAACCTCCAGATAATCGGTATCCCAGAAGGTGAAGAAACTAATCAGGACATTGATAGTCTATTCCATGAAATCCTGGAAGAAAACTTCCCAAACCTAGAGAGGCACTCAGATATCCAGACCCAGGATATACAAAGGACCCCACACAGAATCAACCCAAGAAGATCTTCTCTAAGACACATTATAGCCAGACTGACCAAAACTGCAGACAGAGATAAGATACTAAAATTGAGAGAAATGTCAAGTCACTTTCAAAGAATATCCCATCAGGCTAACATCAGACCTCTTGTTGGAAACAATGCAACCAAGGAAAGAATGGGAAAATATATTAAAAGTGTTAGATGAAAAACAATTTCAACCAAAAATACTGTATCCAGCAAGATTATCCTTCATGTGGGAAGAAAAGACAAACATTCTCAGATAAATAAAACCTGAAAGAATTTAGCAATACCAGACCAACTTTTCAAGAAATTCTGAAGGGGTACTATACAAGGAAAACAAAAGACAGACAAATAAGAGAACAAAAAATGACCAAGAGAAAGGCCAACTTAATGGTCGGGACAAGTTCTGAAATAGCAATAATAATGTTGAATTTTTTTTTTTTTTTTTTGGAAAGGTTTTTGGTATAGGGCACGTGCGCTTGCCAGAAAGAAACAGAGAGACAGAAAACGAGAAATCATCCCCCCAGGGGGGATGGCCACGCCACAATCCTTTCTCTTCCATTCTCCTCTGTGGATCTTAGGCATGCACGCACATACACCCAGTGTGAGTTTAAGCCAATGGGTTCAGGACTCGAACTGCGGTTGACTCCATGGGAGTCCAACGACACAGCCATTACACCAACTGCTGGTCCCAATAATGTTGAATGTTAACGGAAAGGTCAGACCACGCTAACACTGAAAATTCAACAAAAGAGATTACATGAGACTGAACTGGTGAAGTAGAATTCTATGACTTTTTTCTAAAACATTACTGATTTTCTTCTATGCTTTGTCTTCCTGATTTAAGGATTTTTGTTTTCTTTTGAGTTGTTGGGTTCAGCAACTTGATAAAGAATTTTTAAAAATCGATGCATAAACTTTTCTCCCTTCCTGACCCCTTTGCAATTGGAAAATATTTGTGAGCATTCTTATTTTGTGGCAGAATGGTTATTTGCAAAAGTTCATTAATACAGTAGTAGCTGTTGCCTTGCATCAGAAATTGAATTCCTATGGAGCTTTGTGCAAATAACAGACCAAATTGAGATTAGGCTAATTTTTTTTTTCAAATAAGTTAGTGTATACCTCTCTTTAGTAAAAGGGGAAATGGGGAGAGAAAAAAAGTGTTTCAGAAGAAAATTACAGTGCAGTTGTCACTAGATTCTAGCTTTATCCATACTTTAAGGTCTTTTGAGAATCAATAAAATGTGAAAAAAAAAGTTTAGTATGGAAGGGAAGGAGGAGAAAGGGGAAGGAAAAGGGTAAAAGTGTGCTTAATTGACAGAAAATGAGAAGCTATTTGCGGATGATAATGTATATAGTAATGTCCTTGTCCTGACTGACATGCATGGTTTTTGTGTTGGAAAAAGAAATGTATACTGTAAAGACAGGTGATAAAATGTAATTTAAACAAGCAAACAAACAAAAGTTTATAATTAATGATTCTTCGTCAGAGAGCAGCAAGTAGGAAAGGAATGTATCGGGGGAATGTGATTACTAGTATGGAATTTTCCATATCTGGGTTATGTTACAGGTTAATGAGGATTGATTATATTATTAAAAGAAGCCAGTTTTCAGGTCATCATAGCGAAAGCTGGGTTTTGTAATTCTTAAAATTTTCAGGGGGCTGGCAGGTGGTGTAGTGGTTAAGGGTGCTGGACTCCTACGTGGCTGTAGTTTGAGTCCCAGACCTGGCAACTTGCTTTCTGTTTCTCTCTCTCTCTCTCTCCCCCCTATATACATTCTGTCCCTCTGTGGGCAAATTAAAATAAATAAATAAAGTTAAATAAAATAATATTTTAAAAAATCCCTGGTTTTTTTAAAAAAAAAAAAAAAACTTTCAGAATTTCCCTGGATATGTTTTAAAGAAACAAGTCCTGAAACGTGTGTGTGTGTGTGTGTGTGTGTGTGTGTGTGTGTATACACATATATGTGTGTGTGTGTGTATGTAAATGCAGTTGCAACAAAATTAAGTATTGGCTGTAATATACTATCCCTTACAAATTCCTCCATATATTGAATTTATGTATTAATCTGTATCTTATAATGTGCTTTGATTTTTTAAAAGAATGATTTATTTATTAATTTCATTTGTTGTTGTTATTTTTTAAATTTAACCAAACAGAGACAAAGAGAGAGAGAGAAAGGGAAAGCGGAAAGCAAGCTGCCAGGTCCAGGATGTGAACTGTGGTCGGCCATGTGGGAATCCAGCACCTCTAACCACCATGCCACCTGCCAGCCCACAATGTGCTTTAATTCTGAACATTGATTGTTCCAGAAACCTCTACTTGGACTCACTCAGGAACAAAAGCTATACTTTCTTTCTTTCAGGGAAGCACAAAAGGATGGTGTAAACTTTTGTCTAATACTATGGTTTCATGTTATATTTTTTTTTAAAAGAGATTTTTGCTATAGGGTGTGTACACTCGCCAGAGAGACAGAGAGAGACAGAGACAGAAAATGAGAAATCGCCCCCCCAGGGGAGATGGCCACGCAGCAATCCCTCCTCCTCCATTCTCCTCTCAGGATCTTGGGGATGCCTGCACACGCACCCGGTGTGAGTTTAAGCCACCGGATCCAGGACTCAAACTGCGGTCGACTACATGGGAGTCCAGCAATGTAGCCATTTTGCCATCTACTGGTCCCTTCATGTTAGATTTTTAAGTGGGTAAATATTTAGTTAGCTGTCTGGGTGGTCACAGACACTTCCTTTCCACTAATACATTTGCTAATTTTCATTTTTTTTTTGTAGTACTAGCTCAAGGCTTGCTCTCTGTTTCTTCTTTGGTCAGGTAAACCTCTTCAGTTGACTCTTCAAGCATGTGATGTCAAAGGAAAAGAAGATAAATCAGGACCAGAAAACCTTCTTGTTGAGCCATGGACCAGGGATGGTAAGTGGTAACGTATCTATTACTAGTGTGCCCAGCAGAAAGCATGTGAAATCACATTCAGGCCTTTGAAATTTTTGGAGGTATGTAGTTTTGACTCACTTTCAGTTTTCAGTTGGCAGAATTTTCTGAACAATTTGTGTGGTTTGGTTGTAATCTGTCTAGGTGCTAATGACCTGTAATTTACAAGTACTTAGGGCCCTTTCGAAAAGCAGGGATTCCTCCTCTTAGAATATAAGAAGTTACTGTTTTTAAGATCGGATTGTCTTTCTAATGTGTTATCTTCAATTGTTAAGAAACTTCTTGGATTAGTAGCACTGTACTGCTGAGAACACCATTTAAGGAGGTTATTTCCTGATAGAGCCGACCAGGCAGTTGAAGTGTCTGGGAGGAAGCCTCATTCACTCCCTAGTGCCATAGTAACTGCTCTGTACTCTGTGTCTTTTCTCTGGGTTCTTTTCCTCATCCAAGGGGTGTCTGTGAGTCTCTTTCTCATTCATCTTGTAACTATTTGGTTAGTGTCCTGCATTTCTCTTCTACTCACTGTACTGCTTTGACTCTTGCTGATTCAATAAAGGAAGTAGAATGTTCCAGCCATTATCAGACCCAGCAAGGGACTGGCCATATTGCTTTGGATTTGGTTTTCCCTTAGATTTCCTCAGCAATGCAGTCTTCATACATTCTCAGTGGTTGCCTCTTCTCTGTCTTGGTCTTTCTCTCTCTCCTTTTTCCGTTATTCAGTCTCCACACCAGTGAAGTAAAGACCCCTTGGAAAATGTGCTTTTTCCCAGTTGTATCTCCTCTCCTTGGTGGTTCACTGAAGCATCAGACTCTTGCACAAAATGATTTCTCTACAGTCTGCTTTGAGCAGTCTAGTCTTTCCAGATAAGCTCTTGTCGCTGCATCCATCTCTTGCCACATGGAAGGCTGAGGCAGACTGCTCAGTCCTCTGCCATCCAAAGTGGGTGGGGTCAGGAGGAATGGGGCAGCATTAGAGGCCCTGTCAAGGGTGCTTGCATGTTCTCACTCTCTTTTGTGCATGTGTTCTCTATAATAAAAAATTAATTAAAGAACCACAGGTTTTTCTTCAGGTATTAGAAGCGTTTGCCAGGGCCAGCAGGTAGTGTGGTGGTTAAGGCACAGGATCCCACATGGCTAACTCTTGGGTTTGAGTCCCAGACCCAGAGGCTTAAAAAGCACACTGGGTGCATGTACATGCATGCCCAAAATCCGGAGAGGAAGACAGAGGAGAAGGGATTGAACCATGGCCATCCCCCCAGGAGGTGATTTCTCACTTTCCTTCCTTCTCTGCCACTCTCCATTAAGTTCACTTATTCTGTAGCAAAAATCTAAAAAAAAAAAAAAAGGAAAGAAAAGAAGAAACATTTGCCAGCTCTCGTGAACTCGTCCTGTGTCTTTTACCCACCACTTCTTCCTGCCTTCTGGTCCCCTTGGATGAGTGGGTTTTTAAAATCTGACTGTAGCTTGTGGATTAATTATTTTGGGTGAGGTTTTGAAAAGTACAGGGTGGGAAGTGAATGGATGTGGGGAGAGCACTCAGCTTCTTCCAGTCACTCCTTTGACAGCCCTCGCTGTTTATTTCTTGTGACTCAGTTGTGGGTCTGTTTTGCTCTGCTGTGAAAAACGAGCCTGAAGAGATAGACAGAAGAAAAGTCCTCACAGCCAGAGCTCTTGGGTTTTGAGAAATTCATTCTTCTTCTTACAGGAGTAAAAGCTTTTGTCATGGGTACACGTCAAGTTCCCCCACTACAGGAAAGTGCCTGTTTCCTACAAGAGCCATTCCAATGTCCACAAAATGCCCTTGTAACCCAAATGCTGACACCCCAGAGAACTAATGTTCCTAGTAGCCAGTGCCACTTAATCTGGTATTTTAAAAGACTACTGGGTGCTACTAATCGAAACTGAAGTAGTAGATAGGTTTGGAGGGGGGTTATTTTTTCTTTCTTTCTTTCTTTTTTTTTTTTTAAATAGAGATTTTTACTATAGGGCACATGTACTTGCCAGAGAGACAGAAAGTGAGAAATTACCCCCTGGGGGTGGGATGGCTATACCACAATTCCATCCCCTCTATTCTTCTCTCAGGATTTTGGGCACACATGCACATTTGCCCAGCATGAGATTTAAGCTGCCAAGTCCAGGAATTGAACCACAGTCAACTATGTGAGAGTCTTAGGATGTAACCATTTTGCCATCTGCTGGTCCCTCTTTACTTCCTTTTAATGAAGTGGTAGATGTTTTAAATCCTTTAAATCTAGGCTTTTTTTTTTTTTCCTGTCATTTTAAGAGAATACATTTGGTAAGTGGGGGAGGGCATAAAAATAATTTGTTTTAAAATATCACAGTTAAAACATGTGACTTGGTTTTTTACCAAGAAGAGGAATCACAGAGGTTATATTTATTTTTTCTTTTTTAAAATAATTTTTTTTTTCAATTTGCTATAGAATACACATACGAGAGAGACAGAGAGAGAGAGAAAGTGAGAAAACAAGCAGCTAGGTCTGGGACTCGAACTTCAATTGGCCATATGGGAGTCCAGTGCCCTAACCACCACGCCACTTACTGGCCCCAAGGTTATACTTATTTTTATGTTTTTTGTTTTAAAATAGAATATTTGGTAGCAATGTTAACTTAAAAAGAGTCTGTCTAGTTTTATTGACTTAAATGATTGCCTTAGCTACTTTGAAACTAATTAAAATGTCTAATTAACCATTTAACTTCCAGGTTGTAGTTCAGCCTTTACAATAGATTTCTTTAGAAATATCCAGACTGCAGGGACCAGCAGTTAGCGTAATGGCTATGTTGCTGGACTCCCATGTAGTCGACTGCAGTTCGAGTCCTGGACCCGGTGGCTTAAATCTCACGCTGGGCGTGTGTGCGTGCGTGCCCAAGATCCCAAGAGGAGAATGAAGGAGAAGGGATTGCGGTGTGGCCATCCCCCCTGGGGGGTGATTTCTTGCTTTCTATCTCTCTGTCTCTCTCTCTCTCTGTCTGTCTGGTGAACGCACGTGCCCTATAGCAAATAAAAAACCTCTCCAAAAAAAAAAAAGAAAAAAGAAAAGAAATATCCTGACTGCTGGGAAAAGTAACAGTTTACTGATTGGGATAGTGTTTAGGATTACTATTAGTGGAGCTACGTGAATTTCTCACGGGATAGTTCTTTAAAATTGTCTACTGAAATACTTACGGATAGAATCAGATCATATAATAGCTTTTGTCTACAAATTAGTAAGGATTCCTTTGAATGTAATTTTTGTGGTTTTGGTGATAAATTTATACATTGTCTTATGGAGATTCTACTTCATCAATATCTTGTTATATTGAACTTGGTGTAATGAACTAAGAAGCATGAGGGCCAGCCAGTGGCATAGGGGTGAAAAGGCAGCTGGGGGACCAGCAGATGGCGTGGTGGTTAAGGCACTGGACTGCCACATGGCTCACCACAACTCAAGTCCCGGACCTGGTGGCTTGCTTTCTTACTGTCTCTCTCGTCTATTTCTGTTGAGCACCTATAGCAGAAAATTAAGAAAAAAATTCTTTTTTTTTTTTTTTTGGAGAGGTTTTTGCTATAGGGCGTGTGCGCTCGCCAGAGAGACAGAGAGACATAGAGACAGAAAGTGAGAAATCACCCCCCAGGAGGGATGGCCACACCGCAATCCCTTCTCTTCCATTCTCCTCTCGGGATCTTGGGCACGCACGCACACGCGCCCGGCGTGAATTTTAAGCCACCGAGTCCGGGACGCGAACCGTGGTCGACTACGTGGGAGTCCAGCGACATAGCCATTATGCTAACTGCTGGTTCCCAAGAAAAAAATTCTAAGAAAATATTAATACATAAAATTAAATAAATAATTCTTTAAAAATAAAAAGGCAGGGACCAGCAGGTGGTATAATGGTCACTGGACTCCTACGTAGTTGACCACGGTTCTAGTCCTGCACTCAGTGGCTTAAAACTCAGACTAGTGCATGTGCATGTGTACCCAAAATCCTGAGAGGAGAATGGAAGAGAAGCGATTGTGATGTGACCATCCCTCCTAGGGGGTGATTTCTTGCTTTCTGTCTCTCTGTCTCTCCGGCAAGCACATGAGCTCTATAGCAAATGTCTCTCCCTAAAGAAAAATAGATAAATAAATAAATAAAGGCAGCTGGATCCCATGTGACTGACTATGTGATTCCACACTCTTGAGTGTGTGTGCATGTATCCTCAAAATCCCAAGAGGAGAATGGAGGAGAAGGGATTGTGGTGTGGCCAATCCCCAATCCCCCCCAAAGGGGGAGAATGCTTTCTCAGACCTCTTCAACCTCTCTACCCTATCTCTTTCTGGTGAACACTCGTGCCCCTAAACAGAAAGAAAGAAATAAGCATGAAACTGGTTTTAATCTTTTCATTAAAAAAATAATTGCCAGAGGGTACATCCAGTACAATACAGAGAGAGATGAGGGCAGGGGGTAGGTAGGTGGAGAGGGAGCAGAACATGAGGGAGCACTCTCTATGGGCAATAGTCATGACACAATCCCTTCTCCATTTCTTCCTCCTTTTGGGATTTTGGGCATGCATACATACATGCCTGGCATGATTTTCATGGGATCTGGGACTCAAACCATGCAATTGGCCATGTGGGATCCAGCCGCCTTAGCCACTACACTACTGGCTGTCCCCTTTTCATTTTGTTTGGTTAAGAACAATTCAGGGTCCCAGGGGGAATGGTTATTTAGTGCTGACTTGATCATATGCATGAGTTATATATCATTTACAGAGGTTTGAGAAATAAAGGCAACCTTGGGTCTAGCTTAAGACCATTTTGTGACTTGTTAAAGGATAATTTAACAACAAAAAGTAAATCATGACTGTTATGCAAATGTAAATGAACACATGTCAGAATTCTTTTTGGCTCATTAATTAATGAAACCAGTAAGATGTTATATACACAGTTCAAAGGAGAATTCATGAAATACACGTACACCAATAGGAATGGTGAAATTAATTTACCAATAGGTACAAAGTTGGTTGGTACCCATGCATAGTTAGCTATGTGCCCACAGGACACAGTTTATTTTTTTAAAGTTTATTTCTTTCTTCCAAGAGCAACAGAGAGAAGACAGGCATCCCCAGTAGGGTCTTTGGTGTGATCCACCCCCCAGCTTCAGCCAGCTTCATATAATGGGCATGTGTATATCTAGCGTGTTCAGTGAGATTCCTACTTGAACCTGGAAACTTCTAATGTAGGTGAGCCTTGAACCCAGAAACTTCAAATGTAGGTGAGCCTTGAACCCAGAAACTTCAAATGTAGGTGATCTTCGCAGACCATTGCATTCCCATTGCTCCAGTGTTCACCCCACCAAAGAACCCGATTTTTATGTCTGTATACAAGAATTATTTGCATTACTCTCAGTACTCTATACTTTACAGAATTATAAAATAACATAGAGGCAATGAAAGGTGGAGATAGCCAAGAGAGTATAGTAGACAGGACTCTCAGTAATCCAATTTGTTTCAAAGTCTTTCACAATCTTTCCTGACAGAACGTTCTAGAAGCTAACTAATCCCTTTTATGGCCACTAAGCCTGCTTGTTTTCATCAGGGCAAACAGTAGTCATGGTTTTAGATATGGTTCAGGAAGATGATTAATTGTCCAATCTTTTGTCTCTGAATTAAAGCCACAGTCTTTATAAATGCTTTTTTTTCTTTGTTAGTACCTCAGGGCAGGGCTGCCCATGAGGCTGAGAAGATTGTGCCCTAAAGAGGTAGGCAGTATCTGCTTAGGATACTACCAGAGGGTTTCCCTAGGAGTTTATCATGGTTGTTGCATCTGTCTAAAGGGGAAAATTTTTTTTTCAATTTTCATGGAAGTACCGGATAGACTGGTTATCTTTCTGCCTCAAAAGATGTGGTTTGTTTTTGTTGGTCTTAGTTCTTGGTTATAAATACGAGTCAGTCATCTTAACTAGTTTTTCCTTTTTTCAGGTTTTCTTACAGAGACTGGAAAAACCAGAGCAAGTACTATTTTTTCTACAGGAACTGAATCTGCCTTCCAAGTTACACAGATCAGAATTATGGTAATTCTCATACTACCACTTTTTTTTTCTTTTTTTTGCTGGAGTGTGTATGTGCACATCAGAGAAAACACCCCTCAGTGGGGCATGGTTACACCAGTCCCTTCTGCTCTGTATCCCCATCCTATTGGAATTTTGGGTGCACATGTACACATACCTGTGTGTTTTTCAAACTGCCAGGGCTAGGATTTCAGCTACATCGTTGGCCACGTGGGATGTGCCTGCCTTTATCACCAGGCCATGGGGCTGGCCCTCATACTACTAGGTCATCAGGAAAGTCATGATGTATTTTTCTTTTTTATAATTATTTAATTTTATTAATTATCACTATTATTATTATTTTCAATTTGACCAGAGAGAAACAGGGGAGAGAGAGAGAGAAAAAATAAGAAAGAAAGCCGCTAGGTCCAAGACTCAAACTATGGTCAGCCATGCGGGAGTCTAGCATCTTAACCGCCACGCCACCTGCCAGTCCCTGTGATATATTTTTCTGTGTTCTTCTATGCAAAAAATGTGTCACAACTTTCCTAACTGCCCAATGCAATACCTTCTTTAACCAATGTAAGGTGCATGTGTGTGTGTGTGTGTGTGTGTGTGTGTGTGTGTGTGTGTATTTATAGGATTACATTTTGAAAGTCTGTGTCATTGATTTTTCATTGAACATTTAATGATGGTGTACTTGTGTCAGGCCTGGAACGAAGGGCAGGGACATAAGAATGGATAGATTGGGAACAGCAAGTGGCGTGGTGGTTAAGGCGCTGGGTGCTCCCGCATGGCTGACCATGGTTTGAGTCCTGGACCTGATGGCTTGCTCTCTCACCTTCTCTTTCTCTCTCTTTCTTTGTATCTCTCTAGTCAAATTTAAAATGAATGAATGAATAAATAAAGTTAAATAAATAATTTTATAAAAAAAGAAGAATGGATAGATTAAGTCTGATAATGGTATAAATCTGAGCATTAAGAAAGTTAAGGAACCATTCTATAGAAGCAGCTTTCTTATTTTCCTCTCAGACAATGTATTTGAAATACCGTTTCATTTGTTTGATTTTGCTTTAAGCGATTTGGATATAACCTTATTATTTGGAAACAAACAGCCATGGAATTTTTGCTCCTTTGTTATATTATACTTCACCCCAATCTCTGTTTCCAGGTTCGACGTGGTGGCATTGGTGCCCAGTGTGGATTGGTATTTGCTTATAATTCATCTTCTGATAAATTTCACGCAGAAGAACACTTCAAAAGGTTTGAAAAGTATGACAAGTGGAAACTTCAGGAGTTCAGACAATTTGTGAAAAGCAGGTAAGGAGCAGATTAAGAATCTTTGTAGGTAATAAGGACATATCCATTCTCTTATTGATGAGCTATGCTTCATCTTAATAGAAAAGGTGCCACAAGCCCCCCTTAGTGGCCATGGCACTCCTCACTTTCTAGCAGCATACGTGAATGTTAATTTGTGTGTGTTAATTTTGCCCTAGCCTCTGACTCAGTCCTTTCTGTCCTTTGGGACCAAGAGCACACACTTTGAAAATGGCTGGGTACTGATATATGCTTGAATTATGGGCACTTGGAAATTTACCCCTCCCCAGTGTTCTGCTTCTCATTCATCCTTTTTTTGTTTTAAGTTTTTGTTTTAGGGCACTTGTGCTTGCTGGAGAGTGATGGGGTGGGAGTGAGAAATCACCACCCCCCCCAGTGGGGATGATGATGCCCCCAGTCCCTTCTTTTTGCAGGATTTTGGGCATGCACACCCACCTGGTATGTTTTTCAAACAACCAGGTCTGGGACACCAACTATGTAGTCGGCCATGTGGGATCCAGAGCCTTAACCACCATGCTACCTGCTGTCTTCATTTATACTTTGGTTGAAAATATTTATTGCATTTTAAAGATTTATTTATTTATTTATTTATTTATTTATTACATGAGTTTTGCCTGAGAGAGAGAGATTGAGAAAGCAAGCCAGCAGAGAGAGAGAGAGAGAGAGAGAGAGCAAGCAAGCAGCCAGGTCCAGGACTTGAACCACAGTGGGCCATGTTGGGAATTCCAGCGCCTTAACCACCACACCACCTACTGACCCCACTGAAAATATTTATTAAAGATGTACTTTGTGCCAGGCCTGATGCTAAGCACTGAAGATACTATAATGAGGAAATCGACACAATCCATGCTTTGTAGAGCTTACTGTTTAGCTCAGAAGATAGACAATAACACTTGCCATAGCAAGTGATAGGAAAGCTATGTGGGAGAGCGAGCATACCTGGCTTGATCAGGGAAGGCTTCCTGGAGCAAGTATTCTTGTGTTGTTTATGAAGGATGAGTTAAAGAGTTGATTAGCCATTTGAAGAAGCAGAAAGAGTGACCCAAGCAGAGAGAAGAGCAGATACGTAGACCCAGTGGTGAAGTATGGCACAGCCATGGATGTGATCAAACAAGCCCTGTATTATCGAAGTTGTCTGAGGTGGGGAGTTGGGAGAGATGGAGCTGGTGAGCTGGGAAAGAGCCAGGCCATCAAAGATCTTCTTGACTCTTGTTTTAGGGTTAGACTTTCCTTAAAGCAAAGTGTGTATGGTGGGGGCAGGGGCAGGAGGAGGGGAAGTATGTGGTTAAGGAGTTTCAAAAGGGCTAAGGAGGCCGATGTATGTTTTAGAAGCATTTACAGTGAGTCATGCCATGCGTAGCATTGGTTGGAAGAGAGCAGGCATTGGGGTAGGGTGGAGGCCGTCACTGCTTAGGGAAGCAGGTGTGGGTGGTGCCAGCTCAGGCAGCAGTGGCACTGGTGGAGAGGCCCGAACTGGTAAGCAGACGACTAGAAGCAGAAGCACCAGGACCTGCTGAAGGACTGGGTGAGAAGCAAGAGGGGGAAGAGCACTTGGACAGCAGAGGGGAAGTCAGCAGTGCCTTTCTCTGGGGTAGAAGATACCTTGGGGGAAAGCAGGCTTGTGGGGAAGAGCATGAGCTCACTTCTGATCTGGTTGAATTTGAAATTCCTGGAAGCCTTTGAGATGTCTAATAGCCAGTTAGATAAACAGGTCAAGGGCCTGGAAGAGGAGTTTTTGCTGAAGGTACTGATGTAGCAGTAGAAAAGAACATTCTGGAAGAGTTTATGGATTGGAAAGGGAGGTAGGTCAACAGGATAAGAGGTACCAGCATTTAAGGGCAACAGAATAAAACTTAGTCAAAGAAGTAGCAGGAGGGGCCATTAGTTGGCATGGAAGTTAAGGTGCTGGATCCTTAGTGGCCGACTGCATAGTTTGAGACCCAGACCCAGTGGCTTGAAAATTACGCCACAAAATCATTGTGCATGGATGCCTCAAGTCCTGAGGAGACTGGAAGAAAAGGGATTGTGGGATGGCCCTCCCCTCTGGAGAGTGATTTCTAACTTACTTTCTCTCTCTGTTGAGCTCACGTGCTCTATAGGAGGGGGGGAGGGAAGGCAGCAGCAAAACTGGGACTGTGCCCTCACGAAGCCAAGGAAAGATAATGTTCAAAGCAGAGAATAGGCAGCAGTATAGCTATTACCCAGAAGCCAGGATAGCCTAAAAGTGGATCAGTGGAATGCAGCCACGGAGGTTATTAGTGACCCCTTGTTACTACTAGCAGGTAATAGTTAGAACTCCTGGAGCTGACTCTAGACTTGCCGCACATGCTCCTGTGTTTTGCAAGTAGTGGAGTGCTGAAGTTAACGGAAGCCTTTCAGTACCATCCAGAACAGTACTGCTTGGGCTATTCTGTGCATACAAACCACCTGTGATCTTGTGGAAATGCAGGTTCAGTAATTCTGAGTGGGGCCTAAGGCTTGTCTTTCTTTTATTTTTGTAGAGGTTTTTGCCTCTACAAAATAGATGCATACGCTTGCCAGATAGACAGACAAAGGAGAGGGAAAGTGAGAAATCACCCTCTGGGGGTGTGTGTGGCCACTGCAGTCCCTTCTCCATTCTCCTTCCAGGATCTTAAGCATGCATGTACCATGCCCAGTGTGATGTTTGAACCGCGGTTGGCCGTGTGGGAGTCCAGGAATGTAACTGCTATGCCATCTGTGGTCCCGAGGCTTGTCTTTCTAACACGCTGCCAGTCTAGGTCAGCACTTCAGATGGCAAGGTTCTAGAATGATCCCCTTTCTGTGCTAGATTCCTTCGGTGGCTTCCCTGACAAATGGTCATGTGGCCTCTCTGGAGTACTGTTATGATGAAATCTCATGACATTTCAGCAATTAGAATATGTAGAAACTAGAATAAGTAGGTTGAAACCTACTTTTGTCATTTTTATTCAGTTGCCTTGATTCCAACCCGCTAAATGAATTAGAACAAATGCCTCTCATTTCTAAACTCTCTCTTCCATCATATATGCCTTTTTAAAAGATGTTTTTCTGGGGGCCAGCAGGTGGCATGGTGGTTGAGGCTCTGGACTCCCATATGGCCAGCCGTGGTTTGAGTTCCAGATCTGGCGGCTTGCTGTCTCACTTGCTCACTCTCTCTGATGAGCGTATGTGCCCTATAGCAAATTAAAATAATAGTAGTAATAAATAAATAAATATTTTTTTTAAAGAGATGCTTTTCTGGGCTCAGAAGTGGTGGTACAGGTGGTAGGATGCTGCTGCCTAATAGAGGAGCCATTATGGGAAGGCCCAGGGTTTAAATCCTGGGTCAACTTAAACACACAGACACACCTATGAATGTACCCATGATCCTGGCTCATTGGAAGACACTGGGGAGGATCATGGTGTGATGAGACCCTGTTGGGTATGTGTGCATCTGTCTGCCTCATCTGACTTTTTTTCTCAAAATAAATAAGCAAACTTAAAAAGAAATGCAGACTCGGAACACATGGGAACCTGAGTTTGATTTCCTGTCTAACCGGAAGGCATGGCATCGTGGCATGTTTCTGTAATCCCAGCAACTTGGGAAAGCTGAGGCAGGAGAATCGTGAGTTTGAGAATTGCACAAATGAGACCCTTTCTTAACAAAAAGAAAAAAGAAAAGATGTTTTTCTTTCCTAATAATAGCTAGAGATGACAATTTTAGGCAGCCATGTCCCACTCTTGGGACATATTAAAATAGGTCTTTTCCCCTTAACCTGCTGTCAAACAAGGTCTTTCACATCTTATACAAGATGATTTTTTAAAAAACTAAATATAAGACTATTCTCATTCTCCCTTGATGATTTTAGCTCCTGGTTCCAGCCTGAACTACCCTTGAATCCTGATTTGGTTGGCCTATATTTTATCAGTCTCTCTCAAAATGTTAATGTGCATGTTATTTATCGTCTTGCCCTTTTTTTGGTCATGTCCCTGTGGTCAGGCATTGTCAGTCAGCATGCTCCAGCGTCAGGTTTGGCTGCTGTGCACACTTAGAGGACTAGTATTCAATTCTCTTTTCTCTATCCTGCCAATGACATGTGCTCTGATGAACGAGGTTGCTTTTTTCTGATCTCTGAAACATACCAGACTTCTGTATCTCAGACTTCCTTGATGACTCCGAAAGTATGAATTTTAAAAATCTTCAAACATACACTTTTTTTTTTTTTTGGAGAGCTTTTCGCTACAGGGCGCGTGCACTCGCCAGACAGACAGAGAGAGACACAGAGACAGAAAGCGAGAAATCACCCCCCAGGGGGGATGGTCACGCCGCAATCCCTTCTCCTCCATTCTCCTCTTGGGATCTTGGGCACGCACGCACACGCGCCCAGCGTGAGTTTTAAGCCACCGGGTCTGGGACGCGAACCGCGGTCGACTACATGGGAATCCAGCGACATAGCCATTACGCTAACTGCTGGTTCCCCAAACATACACTTTTGAGGAAGCTCTTTGTCATGGTTAAGAGAATTCTACCTTTTCTGTTGGTTTTAGTGTTAACTATATTACAGAAAGACTGCACCAAAAAAGACATCAAGAAGAGAACATTTTGGGGCCAGTGGGTGGTGTAGTGGTTGAGGTGCTGGACTCTCACATGGCCACCTGTGGTTTGAGTCCCAGGTCTGGTGACTTGAAAATCACAGCTAGGAAAAAAAAAAAAATCACAGCTGGACACGTGTGCTTGCATGCCTAAAATCCCAGGAGGGGAAAGGATTGCAGCATGGTCATCCACCCTGCGGGGTGATTTC